GCTGAGCTATATCCAGCCACATCTTCACACTATAACTTATCACCGAGCATATTGTACAAACTATAACTAATACCTAGAAATCTCATTCGCCCGACTGATTAGCTATTGGCAGTAAAACCGCTGCAGACCATGCCATGCCCTCTGTTCCTGAAGCCAACACCATCTTTGATAAACACAATGACTGCTTTTGGTGCAAGGGTGACCAACACATCACCAGCAGTAGAGCCGCATGGGAGACTTATGGCTTGCCACTATGGGAGACCGATGGCTTGCCCCTATGGGAGACCCATGGCTTGCCCCGTTGGAGTTGACCCATGGCTTGCCCCGTTGGAGTTGACCCATGGCTTGCCCCGTTGGAGTTGACCCATGGCTTGCCCCGTTGGAGTTGACCCATGGCTTGCCCCGTTGGAGTTGACCCATGGCTTGCCCCGTTGGAGTTGACCCATGGCTTGCCCCGTTGGAGTTGACCCATGGCTTGCCCCGTTGGAGTTGACCCATGGCTTGCCCCGTTGGAGTTGACCCATGGCTTGCCCCGTTGGAGTTGACCCATGGCTTGCCCCGTTGGAGTTGACCCATGGCTTGCCCCGTTGGAGTTGACCCATGGCTTGCCCCGTTGGAGTTGACCCATGGCTTGCCCCGTTGGAGTTGACCCATGGCTTGCCCCGTTGGAGTTGACCCATGGCTTGCCCCGTTGGAGTTGACCCATGGCTTGCCCCGTTGGAGTTGACCCATGGCTTGCCCCGTTGGAGTTGACCCATGGCTTGCCCCGTTGGAGTTGACCCATGGCTTGCCCCGTTGGAGTTGACCCATGGCTTGCCCCGTTGGAGTTGACCCATGGCTTGCCCCGTTGGAGTTGACCCATGGCTTGCCCCGTTGGAGTTGACCCATGGCTTGCCCCGTTGGAGTTGACCCATGGCTTGCCCCGTTGGAGTTGACCCATGGCTTGCCCCGTTGGAGTTGACCCATGGCTTGCCCCGTTGGAGTTGACCCATGGCTTGCCCCGTTGGAGTTGACCCATGGCTTGCCCCGTTGGAGTTGACCCATGGCTTGCCCCGTTGGAGTTGACCCATGGCTTGCCCCGTTGGAGTTGACCCATGGCTTGCCCCGTTGGAGTTGACCCATGGCTTGCCCCGTTGGAGTTGACCCATGGCTTGCCCCGTTGGAGTTGACCCATGGCTTGCCCCGTTGGAGTTGACCCATGGCTTGCCCCGTTGGAGTTGACCCATGGCTTGCCCCGTTGGAGTTGACCCATGGCTTGCCCCGTTGGAGTTGACCCATGGCTTGCCCCGTTGGAGTTGACCCATGGCTTGCCCCGTTGGAGTTGACCCATGGCTTGCCCCGTTGGAGTTGACCCATGGCTTGCCCCGTTGGAGTTGACCCATGGCTTGCCCCGTTGGAGTTGACCCATGGCTTGCCCCGTTGGAGTTGACCCATGGCTTGCCCCGTTGGAGTTGACCCATGGCTTGCCCCGTTGGAGTTGACCCATGGCTTGCCCCGTTGGAGTTGACCCATGGCTTGCCCCGTTGGAGTTGACCCATGGCTTGCCCCGTTGGAGTTGACCCATGGCTTGCCCCGTTGGAGTTGACCCATGGCTTGCCCCGTTGGAGTTGACCCATGGCTTGCCCCAAATACTGCTGAATCTCGATCACTCTTGGTGGGAGCGACATCTCACTGGCTCGGCTTGAGAGGGATCAATTTTACAGGAACTGGCAGCATGTTGGCAATTTGAGAGTCCAGAGCACCCGTGTGACATCAGCCTTTCCGGGGGGCCCTCATCTGCCCACAGCCGATACCAAAGTCTCCCCTATGCGATGCTCAGCTATGAGGTGAGCTGTGAGGTCAGTCAATGACCGCTACCATGGAAGGAAGTTTAGCTGTCAGAGAAGAAAAGTGCCATCACAGCGTACATCGCTTTCCCGGCATCTTCATGAAGCCGGGATCGATGATGAATGTGCACGTTTCTTTATTTTCCTCTGCACAAACTACAAAACTCAGGCTGTTTTTATCTGTTTGCTGGGGTGACAAAGTTTACTAGTTGGGCTAACATTTTTTTTAGTTTTGACTAGAGTATGGGAAGGGTTAAAGTGACATTAAACCCTCAGATTTTTTAACATAAAACAATAGTGTAATATGCGCCTTACTGTAATCCATGGTAGTTTCCCTTCTCTTTGCTGCTCTTCCTTTTAAATCCTCATGTCTTCTCATGCTGGGGCAGAACTTCTGTGTTGCAGCAGACTGCCTTGTCTCTGGAATGGATACACGGTGTCTGTGTGTAGGTTTACAACCTGAGCCAGCACTACAGGAAGAGGCACTCAGCTGCAAAGGGAAGTTCTCCCCAAGCATGAGAAGAGATAAGGATTTAAAAGAAAGAGCAGCAAGAGAAGGGAAACTACCATGGATTACAGTAAGGCGCACATTACAGTATTGGTTTATGTTAAAAAATCTGAGGGTTTAATGTCACTTAAGACTCCTGTCATTTGGAGGTTGTTCAATCACAACAGTCTAAAAGCAAACTCCCACTGTGTTTTATTTTCAGTAAACCCATAAAGCTCCGTGTCATCGGTTTCATGGGTACCCAATGTATTAAATGTTGAAGGATTTGAGGTTCATGTTAAAAAAACAACATTAGTTAAACTTAAAAATCCTTAAAATGGCCCCAAATTGATGATCTTCGGGTTAAAAAGGCAAAGGGGAATATGTCAGCAAGTATCCATCCAGAACCTTGATGGCCCTAACAGAGCAGCGATTGGAGGACTCTTCTCTTTGCTACGGACGGAGTCTTGTGTAGAATCCATCACTACATAAGCCACGTTTTTGTTTTTTTGTGTGACTCAAAGTTCTGAGAGAGTCCAATCTAAATGTGTGTTCTCTGCAGGTTCCGCTTAAGAAAAAAGACTTGGAAGAACCCCGGCACAGTATTCCTCGATTACCACGTCTACGAGAACGAGATCAGTATTTCAAGCAACTGGGAGGTCTTCCTCGAGGTCCTAGAAGGTAACGTGTGTGTTGCTGCCTGTCTCATCTGAGAGTTGTCTGGCTGACATGCTGATCCTGTGGCTTCAACACATTCTTAATCTGACTTAAGTGTCTTCTCTATACGTTTGGTTGGATGTTGATGGGTTAAATCACCCTCTGGCTTATCCTATCTCAGTCCTTCAGAGTATTGAGACCAAAGACAGCCAGGCAGAGGGCATTTACAGGAGGCGGTTGCCATTGACAGCCACTGTATTTATATTAATGCATGCTTCCTTTAAAGGAGAACTATGGGGTCAGTGTTTTTCCCCATAGTTCTCCTTAGGGTAACGGGAGGACACAAACTAGCGTCCTCCCGTTACCCTAAGCTCAGTATACCGCGAGCTACAGCTCGCGGTATACTGAGACGTGGGAGCGGATCCCGACGACGGGATCCGCCCAGCTGCGTGAGTGACAGCTGGCTCTGCCTATCTAGAGGCAGAGCCAGCTGTACCCGCCCCCTCCCTCGTCCGTTCTGCCAGTCAGAGCTGGCAGATCGGAGCGGGGAGAGGGGAATCCAGCCCCTCCCCGTCACGGCAGAGAGCCGTGACAGGATCGAGAGGTGAGCGAACGCCGGTATGTGTTCCCCCACCTCCCGATCTACTGAGCCGACCTGTGACAGTCTCATTGTCACAGGTCGGCTAGAACTATGAGGTGAGTGAAAAGCACTCCCCTCCCCCCCTCATAGTTCTCCTTTTTAATTGGCTGAAAAATAATCAATCGGCTGCCCTCATCCATATTTTAGCTGCTTACACGTCACGTTACCAAAATTGGGAATCAAGCTTAGTTGCACATATAGGGCACTGATCTTCCCAATTTTCTAATGTGTCAGTATCCAGGGACCAATGAGTGCCTGCCTCCAGCCACCAGAGCCCCACGGCCATGCCCCCTACAGCGCCCAGAGACCATTGCTTATCTGCCTCAAATGCCCAGAGAGCGATGTCCAGCTGCCTCCTGTGCTCATAGACCATTGCCCAGGGTCCAATGAATGTCTGCTTCCGGTGGAAGAGCCCCATGACTGTGCCACCTACCGCGCCCAGACACCATTGATTATGTCCCTCAAATGCCCAGAAGTCAAAGGCCAACTACCTCCCGACCAATGATTGTCCACCTTCAATCCCCATAGACCAGTAACTGTCATCCTCCTGTGCCCAGAGACCAATGCACCACCACTAATGGTGTCCAGATGCCATAGGCTTGCCAACAAAGGTGCGCAGACTAACGCCAGTAACCCACCGCCAGTGCCTAGATACCAATGACCAGCCGCGTCCAGTGCCTAGAGCAGCGGTTCTCAACCTTTCTAGGGCTGGGACCCCTTGGTAACATTTGCCAGGTTGTGGTGACCCCCCCAACCGTAAAATTTAGTGATGCACCAATACTAGTATCTGTGTGGGCTCTCGGGAGCCTATGCGGGCTCTCAGGTGGCTAGTGGGACTGCCTGTGGTGGCCAGTGCGGGCTCTGTGGTGCCCAAGCACTTCCCTCCCCTCACTCCTGCCCGCTCCCCTCTCTCTGATCCTCTCCGGTCGCTGATGCTGCAGCGCCATCTAGGAGAACTGACACTGCTGCGCTAGGAGGAGGCTGAGGAGCCTCTTACCTAGAGCAGCACAAGGCACATGGGGACCCCCTCAACTGTGGGTTGCGACCCACTTTTGGGTCGCGCCCCACAGGTTGAGAACCACTGGCCTAGAGACTTTACATCATGGCTTCTGTGTCCGATCTCTTCTAATAGCTGGAAGCCGTCCTATCCACGTACTTACCAATCTACTTCTCTCCATCTCTTTTATGTTTCTTTATGACAGAAGGGGAGAAGATGAAGTCCATGTCCCAGCTGTCCTTGCTGACTAAGAGGTGGAGGCCATCGCAGCTGAAACTGGAACCTTTCCAGGAGATCGTGCTGGAGACCAACAGTGTGGATGAACTTCGGGAGAAGGTGATCATTGGGGCATTATGAATTTTTACAGGGTCATCACTATATAT